TCTCTTTTTCAAGTGGCAGAAAGTTTACAGGAGTGAAAAACTCCTTCAGTTCTCAAGTGGAAGAAAAACAAGTAGCAAAAAAGAGAGAAAGAGGGAAGCTCCGTGAAACCAGAGACCAAAGACCAGAAGCGAGATTCGCTCCATGGCTGAAAACAGAGTTGGTAACGCGAAGCGGGCCAAAATAGAAGTAACATTCTATTATTAACAATGCCACTCCCGTCCTTCCCCTCTCCGGGCACTTCATAAACAGCAGCAGACTGCCAAGAGCCTGGCCAAGTCGAGTCGAGTCGAGTCGAGTCGAGTTGAGCTGAGAATGAGAAGAGCAATATGAAACAATGGCAGTAACAATGGATGTGGATGGATGGATGGATGGATGGATGGCTGGTGGCCGGAAGGACCAGCAGCAGCAGCAGCAGACAGGACAACAAGGATACAGTAGGAGCAGCAGCAGTAACAACAACGACAACGACGTGACGACGTCATCATTGCCAACAAAGTGTTGACATCTTTTTGCCCATTCATCGTCTGTCCCCAGTCCATTCATCTCTTTTACGCTTGAAACTCAGTGGCAGTCCAAACCCACCTTATCCCCCGAAACAATCCTTGACTAACGCTATTCGTCCTTTTTAATTAATTTCACTTACTGCAGTCTCTCTGTCCTGGGGCCACCCTCCAAACTTACTGACGAAAAAACGGGGAGAAATTATTTGGTATAATTTTTGGAGTTTGCAAGCTTCTTCATATGAAAAAGAATTGTCTTATAAATATTACCACTTTACCTATTCATAAAATTAATCTAAACTATGCTTTTAAATATTTCTAAATCAAAGAATAATTATCCATAATAAAAGTTATAGTTTCTCTCTCTGTTCAAGCTGTCAATGCGACATGGTCCAGTCTCACGTTGAGCTTAGTGGAGCAATAAAGGACAGGTCCTTAGAGACCTGGTCCTGCCTTCTTCTCCCTCTTTTATACATTTATATATATATCTTTTTTTGTTGTTACTGCCTGAGAAGTTTTCTTCATAAATTTATAAGCGTCACGTTGCTGACACTCTCACATATCTTTGCACACACTTTTTGCACCTCTTGCTAAAAGGACATGGGTGGCGGCAACGGGATTTTGAGGCACCACAGGATACGAAATGAAGAGATCAGAGGCAAAAGCTTCAGTTGTGGGGAATAAAAAAGGGAGAGCAAATCACTTATGCAAATTGGCCAAGAATTTTTCGCATTGTTCACTCAGTTGGGTGAAAAGAAATGTTAACAAAAAAAGAAAAAAGAAAAAGAAAAATCTGAAGAAATTGTAAAAGGTTGCAGGTTAAATATTACCCCCAAGAAAAGTGTGTATAAAATGGAAGGTACAAGTTTCAAGGATTTCTTAAACATTTTTAAAAGGGAGGTAGAATCAAAAAAATCCCTATGTAATATTAGTTTTATAAAGGAAATTGTGGAACCATTTTTTAAATATTTTAAGAATTCATAGGAAAGCTTCAAAGATTTTATAAATATTTATTAAATATCATAGAAGCAAAAGTGTTTAAGTATGTTTTCTATACTAAAACTTCTATATTATATTTAAATGTATAAACTTTTTGAAATAATAGTTTCCTTGTAGAATAAACTCTATAACCTCCCACAAGAAAATCTATCTAACCGACAATAACCCAAAAATTACCCTGCTAATCTCTGGCATAGTTAACACCCATCACCCCAGTTCTCAATCCCTCATTTCCTCCTTCTCAGATATCAAACCATATCTTATCTGTGGGTGAGTTTCCTCTCACCACCTGGTAACCATCTCTTACACCTGCACTTTCACCTGGCCATTATTTCGCTTTGAGTTGGGGGTTGCTACTGCAGGAATGGCCAAATTAAATAACCATGTGCTCCTCCTTCCTCGACTGAGTTATGGGTGAAAGAGGAGTCCCCATATACCCCTATACCTTTCTGTCAGGTGTGGGAATCTCGAAAATTAGATTTCCCGGACAACAGGTTTCCATTATTGGTGCTCTGGTAGCGCTCCTACGCATTCCGTTTTGCATAATACATAAATATTTTCTATTTGCCGTCATATTCCACTGGCTGGCTGGATACGTCGTACTACTACGTCTGCTGGGGTCTCGAGTGGCAGCAATAGGCACAGCATAAATAAGCAGGCTTTCCTTCGACCAGGTGGAAAGGAGGCAGGAGGCTGGTGGCAGGAGCCGAGCCTGCCACTCGTCACTCACCCATTTTGCCATTTGCCATTCATGCGTCGTCCTGGTCTCTCAGACATCATTCATACAAATGTCTGAGCCTGGCTCCAGCTCCGTCTCCATCTCCACCTCCACCTCCATCTCCACCTCCTGCTCCTTTTCACCTCAACTGGCTCCTGCTCCTTGGTTTTTATTATTTATGTTACTCATTCGACTCGTATCCTGCTTGTTGATTGCTTTGCCTACACGTGTAGTTTTCTCTCTTTCTCAGCCAGAGCTTTTCCTGCCCTTATTTATACCAATTCCTGTGGCTCCTTCTTCATCTGAAAATGAGTTGGGGTTGTGGAAAGCGTGGAAAGCTGCCTTTGTTGGGCTCGCCTCGTCGCGCTAATATTATGAATGGCAACTCATGCATTGTAGCCAGTTTTCCTCGCTTCTCTGTTCTCAGTTAGACCCTTTTTCCGGGTATTATGATTTCAGTCAGAAGCTTGTAAAACAGTGAACGAGTCATTTCCGATCCTATAAATCATATATATTATTGTTCAGCATCAACAGCTGAATTGTTCTAGCCATGTCTGGAGAAAAACTAATTTTTTCAAAATTTGTCAAATTTCATAAGGGGTTACATCATTAAAATTGTCAAAATTTGATTAAAAAATTTAATTTTAAAATTTTAAATTTGGGTATACAGATTTGTTAGCGCTCTAAAAACTAGCAAAGAACAGCTTTCCAAATTAAAATTATGGCATTATTGGCTGAGTTATGATAGTTGAAACATTAGAACCCTTGAAGAGTATACAAAATTCGGCTTCCCGAAGTTAAGTTTCATTTCTTGTTTTTATGTTTCAGTTTCTATTCCTGCTGATACTTCTGCCCCACGGAAAATTGTGGTTGCCCTCTCTCACCTCTAAGTATTTACTGCTTACGAAAAATAAACAGGAGCGGCTTGGGAATGTTTAGGGGGACTTCAAAAAAATGCATATTTAAATTGCTTAACTTTAATTTTGAGGAAATATTGTTCAACATTTAATCCAAAATTGTTACAAAGCTTCTTTGTGTTAAAAATATATAATTTATTAATATTTAAGAATAATTTAATTTAATTAATTTTGTGACTCTAAAATAAGAATTTACTAAAAATCTCACTGCAATATTCGCTTAAACTCTTGTTAGATATCCCTAAAGTAGAAAACTCCCCTCTATAAACCATATTCCGCTCCTGACATGCACCCTCTACCCGCAAAAGTGTCAATGTAAGCCTTACCCCCCCTTTAGTCAGAGCCTGCCATGTGCGTGTGTGTCCTTGTGCCCAAGCATGTGTGAGTGTTTATATTAGAAGAATCGTTGTAAGCCCCTTTTGGCCAAACAAAATGCTGCTAAATTGCTTCAAGAAAGCAAAGAATAGAGGCAAATAAAGTAGAGCACATAAGTAACACACGGAACAACAACGAGAGGGAAAGCTGAAAGGAAAGTGTCGAGGGGAAAAGCGAAAAAAGAGTAGAGGAGGGGGGCGACGAGATACTTAAATCCCTGTATTTGGCCAGCATTAAGTTATATTTTACCTTTCGGTGCTCCTATTTGTCTTCACCCCTAAAAAATTTCACTTTTCCTGTGCATTTCCCAACTGGTAATAAAAAATTGAGGTCAATTCGTTTTGCCATGCTGAAAGGTTGACAAAAATATACCCAGTACTTTCATATTCCATAACCCCGTCGTCCATGGACTGTATTTGTCCAAGTCGAAATGTTTTTTACCCCGCCAGCGCCAGCCGACATTGTTGTTAAATATAACAATATTTATTTATTTATTATTTACACGGCACAGGGCACAACTGCCAAGGTTGTGGGAGACTCTCTCCTGTAATCTATCAGAGATATTGCTCCCAGGGTCTCTTGTCCCTGTCCCGGTTCCTGTCCGTGTCCCTGTCCCTGTCCGAGGACTGTCTGTCCTGGCATTTTAAATATTTAAGTCATTTTTCCAGCTCCCCCCGAAGGGAAACGCAACATCATTAAACTTATTGGGTTACACAATGTCGGTGCTGGGCAATTGCATTCGAAATGAGGGGGGAAAAACGGACAGAACGGATCCTTCAGGGATATCCGTGTGGTTTTGTACCTTTTGTAGTCCTTGTTGTTTGTTCGGGGTTCTCGGTGTTCTTTGGGGGGGTGTGTCCAAAGTCTGTAAAGTTTGTCTTCCTGATGAATTTGAATGAAGAGGCGTTGACGTATTGATCCAATTGGTTAGAGGTGAAAATTGGTAAAGATATCTCTGGTTGTGAGTTTAATTTGAAGTGAAGGAATGAGTGGGAATAACAAACCATGTCAAGGATTCCAAACAAAACTTCAAACACTCAAGAATACTATTTGTATTAAGTTAATAACCAATAAAGTCAAGCAGACTTTTCCATTGTTTTCCTATAATTGTACGTCTGATTTTTAGGGAACAATTCCAATTCCTGTAGTTACCTGATTTCAATTTCAATTTGCAGTCACATTCTAAAACCCAATTTCTTGCATATTGCACTTTGTAATTAAGCAAGCTTGATCGAACACGTTCCGGTATGCAGATTTTCCTGTATACAAGATTTTCCCCTTTCCTCCTTCAGAAATTACGTAAGAGAAATGGGAGAAAGGGGAAAAACTCCCAACTTAACATGCATTTGCAATTCAATATTTTGTTGCTCTTATTTTTGTGCAAGCTCCCCTCGATGCCAAAAATTTGTGCATAAATGAAAATTAATTTGTGAAAATTGTGTGTTTCCCATTGTTTATAAATGCTCTCCTTTGCTATTTCCTATTTTCAGTGGCAAATGTCAGCGGCAACAGCAGCAGCAGCAACAGCATCAATCCAGGACTGATGATGGAGAAATCAAAGTGAATAGAGAGCGAGGGAAATCAAGTGGAAAAGATGAGAATTAAAATGCAAGCAGCTGCAGGAAAAAGCGAGAAAATCACGAAACTGCAGCCAGAACCAAGGGGCAACAACTTATGAAAACGACCCAAAAAAAAAGGGAAAAGGGCAAATAGAAATCCGAAAACGAATCAAGCCAAACGGCAAAAAACAACGAACCAAGGAGGAAAATTAAAGAGCAACAATTACAAGGGAAAACTTGCACACACACACACACAAAAAAAAAGGAGAGGAATAAAGCGAATTTTGTGAAAAGTCAAGGTGGAGTCCAGCCAACGGAAAATGCCCAAAATGGATACATTTTCCACTGCGGTTCTTCCCCGCTGCCATTTGGCAACGGCCTTCTTCCTTCTAGTCCTAACCGCAGCTCTGTCCACAATGGTCCAAGCCGAACAGCACCCGGCCACGGCCGACGAAGGTGAGTTACTCTTTCCCTCTAACCATTTCCATATCATTTTATGATACACATTTCGACGGAAGTAGCACGACATAAATAAATAAAAAGAAACCAGGGTGGGGGGAAAACATAACAAACAATCGAGGGAAACACATCGAATTGCGTGAAAACCTCAATTGAAATATAAACAGCGTAACCGCAGAAAAACCAGTTGAAAATGTTTGGAATTTAATGTGAGGGTTAGTGTTGGTGTTGGTGTTGCCACAACAACAACAATAACAACAACACACCAACACACACATAAAACAAAAGCAATTTAGACATTAACACTTTTATTTAGGTTTGTTTTTGCCTAGGGTAGGGTATTATTTAATGTGACCATAAATTCCAATTAAAGCTGAACAAAAACAAAACTAGAAATTTAATTTTTCATAGGATACAACCTACAACATTTTTTAAATGCTCGCTTGCCCCCTTCGGGTCATATTGTTTTCACCATAATGACATTTCACGGACATCCAAATGAAATTAGAGAACATGTCAATGAGTTTGTTTCATGTACATATCACAGACCTCGAACCTCGGACTACGATTGCGTTTAGTTTTCCCATTATCCAAAAGCGAAGGCGTAACCCTAGAATGGCAGACCAAACATCTGGCAGGAACCGTCAGCCATGGAGGGTTAATTGCACGGGCCAAATGGGAAATGGGAAATGGGAAATGGTAAACAGGGAAATTACATTCTTTTTCTTTTTTTTTTGACTTTCCGGATCTCGGGGATCGTACATAAAATGTCTTGCTTCAATGGCAATGCCCAGCGGAATTAAGCCAGAAGTTGTGACTGCAGCTGTGACTCTAAATTTGAGTAATTAACAAACTGTGACTATACGAAATTGTAGTATTAAAACAGAGATTGTAAAGGGAAGTTATAAAGGAAGGTTTTTATAAAGAGAAAATAGGGAAAAAGAGTGGATTCGATTATCAGATGTTTTGGGATTATAAATATATCAACTATATATATGAAAGTAAATTACAGTATTAATATAAAAAGAACAGTGGGGAAAAAGAAAAGAGTTTTATTAACAGTAGAAAATATGATCTATTACTATTATAATAAGGTACTTTTTTTTAGAAGGACAACTTCAAAAAATTACTATAGTTCAGAAACAATATAAAGATCCTTACCAAACTTTGATTTCTCAAAAATTGCACCTCAAAATATTTAATAAAGATGCTTGTATTAAATATATGATACAAAATCTTCACAAAACTTCCTAGAATACCTTCCTAATTAATTTATTTAACCCCTTCAATTAATTCCTAATCTCTTTACAATCAAGACTTCGTTTTCCCGCCATTTAAAATGAATAACAAACAAATGTAACGTTTCGATATTGTTTCTGACACTTTCTTTCCGCTCGAATTGTGACATGTGGAAGGAACTCTGTTGTGGCAGTTTGAACTTTCCTCACCCTTGTTCGTTGCCCAAAAAGTCACCCCTCAAATGATCGCGATCATCATTGTGTGTCATTGTCATCAGTGTCAAAGCCAAATGTGATTTAAATTCGATTATTCTCAATTATTTTGTTACATGCACTTCATTTCCAGTGACTCAGCCAGGCCAAAAAATACAGAAAAAATCGAGAAGGAATGGGAATGAAATTTTCACCCCTCTACATAAGGAATTATTTCCCTTTTTTTTGCTTCATGTTTTTATTGGTTCACTTGAGTGGATTTGGTCTGGGGACCAAAGACCGGGAAGGCGACGACGACTGTTGCCTCCTTCCTTCGTCTCGCTGCATTTGTTTGATTGAAATTGATTTTGTCTCGCCTGCGGGGATTTGTTGGAACGGAATGCTGCCGAAGAGAAACTCGGGGTTATACCATATGAAACATTACTTTCGAGTACTCTCTCTGCTCTCCCACTTGACTCGCAGTGACTTTTCCAATAAAGATTAAATTCATGCCGAATTGAGATATAGGAGGAGGAGGAGGCTGGAGGACTCTGCGTAAGTGCTTTCAGATGCTGCCTCGTTATGGTAATCTTGTAATACTCCCCTTGTCCATAGGTTTCTTTGACTTATTTATAACACCATTCAAAGTGATTAAAATCTTAATTGTAAGTGGATGCACTTGTTCCCATATATAGTATACTCATAGATGTGTTTTTCCAACCCCCTTGAGTTTGTACTTACTATATATATATATCCCACACAGGAAGTAAGGGTTCATGCCCCTAACGAGGCTTTGTCTAATCAAATATTCAACCTTTTTTTCCACTCACTCGCAGTTGGCCAAAACTGATTTCATGGCTGCGATAAGCAAATATCTGCCATTCCCAACAAATTACTTGTTAACAAGTGCATTTTAATGTTCAACTTTTTGGCCAAATTGTGGAACACACACACATGGCTTTCTCTCTCTTGTGTGGTGGCCACAACTGAAATTCATGCGGCCCATAAAAAAAAGGAAAATAACCCCGACTAAACGCAAGCCTACAAATGGCCAAAAACCCTCACTTTGTGTGTGTTTTGGCCAATTGGAACAGAAAATTGTGAAATGATTTTTGTGCTGCTTTGTGATTGCGGCGGCCCTTTTTTTTCCCTCGGATTTCAATGTAATTTGAACATGCAAACGTTATGGCTAACTACTGCAGTGGGGTCAGGGGCGTCGTTTATGGAAGGGTGCTAAAATGGAAGGAATAGCCCCAGAAGTTGGGTTTAATTTGAAGGGGTTAATACAAGGGATTTTATTGAATATGTATTACAAAAGGAAAAGTTTAAATATGTTGGAGAATCTCTATAAACATGGAGGATTATTTTAAGGACTTGCTAATTAGTTTACATAATTTCGGTTTATTATAGAAAATCTATAGACCTTTCCTATATTCCATAGTAAAGTATTCCCCTTACTTTCAAGACAGATTCATGCCACTCAATCAAAAACTTTATAAACAATCTGAAAACTTTCAATCTCTCAGTTAGAGCTCTGTGGTCATGGCCTGTCATAAGGGGTCTTCAATCAAAGGTTTTTCAATTTAATTGAAACTGAAATTGATTTTCCACACTGTCTAACCCCTCGTTGGCTTTGATTAGTCGTATTAAATTGAAAATGGGATTCAATTTCTACACAATTTTCATGGATTAAAATGTTAATTCCCGATCTAATTAAATGCATTTGGCTTTGTCTTCAATTTCCATGCCATTCAGGGAACTTCTGAATATATATATATATATACATCAATAAAAAAAAGGTCGGAAAATGCTTTGAATAATAATCCCCGCGGTGGTGCGGGGGAGTGACAAATAAAAAAAAGCAAATCGTGAAGAGGTCGCAGCTGTTTTGACGCAGGAATAATCCATTAATTCAATAAATGTGTAGCGCGCGGGAGTTTTCAGCTTTTGTTTTTTGTCTTTTTTATATATTGTTTTTCTCTCTCTCTCTTTTGAAAGTCAAATATTTGTACAATAATTTGTGTAAAAATGGTGCAGCATCTGTTGATGAAATCAAAACCGATCCTGAACCCGAACCCTGACCCGGGGCTAAGCGCTCCTGCAAATACAAAGAGGTCCTGCTGCTGGATCCCTATCCTATCACCAGGGGGGCGGGCGGGGAAATCGCTGCTCATTTTAATCTTTGATTTTCGTGAATATTGGCAAAGGACCTTTCGAACCTCCACAGGAGCTAAGCACAAACACACACAGGACAGAGCCGAGCAGACACTGTTGGAAAAACATGGAAAATACTTGAAAAATTACTCACCCGCAGCGGCAGGCGGCAGCCATTCCAGAATGAATGAATGAATGAATGTATGGAAAATCCTAGGGAAACTGGGAAACGTTTTAAGCAAACACACACATGTGTGTGTGTGTGCACATATGTGGAGGAGGAAGTGTATGCATTCGGAGCGGTGCCAGCGGGTGGTGAGAGGAGCGCAGCTCAAAAATCAATGGGCTCAAAATATTAAAGCGCTCGATTTTCATGTTTTTCCCCATGTAGAGAGGAGAGCCCTCGATCCTGGATCCACCCAACCCCACACCCCCTCTTTATTACTTCACCACCCCCCTACTCAATTTCCCAGTGTGTATTTGTGTGTGCTCCGATTTCGAATCGTTCTGGCCATTGCCGTTCCGATTTCGCTTGAGATTTCTGTTTGTGCAATGGCAGCAGCGGCTGCCTTTTCGATTTGTAAATTGGCACTCAATGAATCAATGGATTTCGCTTCGTTTTTAGTTTCTGACCGCAACACGGTCGAACGAGGGTGGTCTCTGGTGTTATAAAGAGGGTAAAATATATGTTTTATATAATAATTTCACTTAAAATAAGTGAAATGTAGAAGGCAGGGTGTCCTAACTAGCTGTTTTGGTAGAGAAAAAGTTCAAACTTTTCTCACAATGCAGCGAAAACAAAACTCTGACATTCCGTACTGCTTGTACATTAAAGGCAAAGCGTGGAGCAGAGAGCGAGATTCAAATTCTAAACTGAGCAGCTCTTTTGCTTTTACCTATAATTTAAATTTAAACACAGACAAATTAAACAAACAATTTCCTTTCCAAACATTATATTTGCTTTGATTTCAGTTTTTAATATCATCATTTTAATATACCTAAACTTTTTAATCCAACCTTTTGCCATTTTCATATATGCTTCACATACAAATCATTCAAAGTGGGTATTTTTTGTCGGCCTTTTCATCGGGTTTATATTTTTTCAACACTCTTGACGTTTTGAGCCTTTGCCGGAGATTTCCAGTGAAATTTTCTGGCTTTCGTTTATGAAATACTTGACCTGCGGGGAAAAGGAGGCCGCCAGACTGGGAAAAGTGCAGCTAGTCTGGTTTCTACTATATATCTCTTAGCGAGTGTTTTGTGGTATGTCCTTTCTTTGAGCCCGTGGCCGTGACTGTGGCTCCGCTTCGAGTGTCCTTCCTGCGCGCCGCCTTTTACCCCTCCTTCGAGGAGGTAGGAACGTGTGGCATGCTCCATTTGTGCGCTGATATACGGAATTATGCTGAAATCACG